GAGCCGTAAAAAGTTGATTACTTCTACAGAGCTCCCCTGCTGATGTTCGCCTATTGAATAGGCGAACATCAGCAGGGGTCTACGATTTCAGATCTCTATGAATCTCGTCATGGGTTGCCAAACATTTTGTCGAGGGGCGCCGGCAGCGAGTCATCAAATTCTTACTGATTTTCTCACTATTTTTCATTTCATCTTTTATCTAAGACAACGCCATTCCCACCACAAGTTTATACAACAGGAAGCGAGGGTTTGAGCGATTTATTATTATTATTATTATTATTATAATGTCGAAATCGAACCACGCCTTCAACCCCTGGACAACGAGCGATTTCATTTGAGGAGCGCTGTTACAAGTTCTAAGGCAAGGTTGGACATCAAAGCGGGAGGTTTCTGGGCAAGAGGTGTTACGGCATATTTTGATGTTAGAGTTACGCTCGTCAACTCCAAGTGTTACCAGAGCAAGCCAACATCGGAAGTGTTCAAAGAGCAAGAAGAAGAGAAGAAGCGCAAGTACCAGCAGCGGGTGTTAGATGTAGAAATGGGTTCGTTTACGCCTTTAGTGTTTGGAACCAATGGCGGAATGGGAAACGAGTGTCAGCAGTTCTTAAAGCATCTCGCAGACAAGATAGCTCAGAAAGACACCGAGCCCTATCATGTTGTAATCACTTGGCTCAGGACACAGATCTCGTTTGAACTCTTAAGATCGGTACATGCATGCGTCAGAGGTTCGCGAACGCCGTTTCGTAGCAAAATAGAGCAATCATTAGACTGTAAAATAAATGTCGCTAGTGCGGATATCTCAAATACGTGTCTATATGCTTTTATACTTAGGGCTTTTTATGGACACTGGTTTAGCCGTCATTAGTATAATTCGATTGTATGATCTTAATATCTCTGCATAATGGAATTCTTAATTTCATAGAATTTTGAACTTTTATTATTAATTATATCTGTTTCCTCTTCTCTTATGTAAGGTTAAGTTACTTCTATTTTTTAGAATTTGTAAATGAATAGTTCTTTCTTTCTTCACTTATTATATATACGATTGTTTTTGTTCTCTAATGAAGGACGAGGGGTTTCTTTTGTAACGGATGGAATTGTAGATAGTGTTTTGATGAATTAATTAGATTTTCTGTAACAGCAGGTTGATTGTAAATAGGATTTTAATTGAGGTTTTGTAATAAAGATTTTAATTATTATTATTATTATTATTATTATCATTATTATTATTATAAAGTAACGTTTTCAGTGTTATTAGATAGATAGTTTATTTGTACAAATACTAAAAAGCTTGCAGCTACTAAGCTGAATTGTGTATTTACAATATAATATAATATATAGATTTAGCCAGGGCTAAAAGCGAGGCTCCCATTAATAAATTTATAATTTAAATCAAACAATAAACTTGTATTCCACATTTAGAGCACATTCATGTGACTTTTCAGGGAAAGGCTAAGTGATTTTAGACAAAAATAATTTGCAAACAACCCCAGAGTGAACCAAATCTTACATCGAGTTGATGGCCTCATATGTACACCCAAAAACTGGCAATCGTCTTCGATCACATTTTTTAAGAGCCATAATGGCTCTTGATCACCGTAGGTTAATTAGGCCTGGAAAAAAGTTCCGGCCGAATTTTTTGCGTTCGACAAGTTTACTTTACAAAATATTGCCAACAAATCTGGGTTCGTGTATCATTTATACATCACACCTGAGGTGAAACAGTACTATAAGGCACTGTTTTTAATCATACAGACCTCGGACAACAGAATGCAGTATTTGACAGTTTTGCAATACAAATTGCTATCATTCAATATTCAGGACGATCGAAGCACGCGTGAGTTAGCTTTAGCTAAACCGTTAAAAAAATTTCCAAAATCACCTATACGGCCAGCCGGTTGTGACTTTTGCAGTGCTAGCTGTGGCGAGTGTTTGAATGAACATTAACACAGTTAAGCTCCAATATAATAAAGAATTTATTATGTTTATTTTTTATTTTAAAATGGTTTAACGCGCGGCATTTTGAGTACTCTGGGAAGCGTTGTTCACTGAACGACTGAAAACGATCGGCACAGCGATTAAAATTGCAAGATAGACTACTAATAATCAATAAAAGAAATAAAATTCGGTGAAACATATACAGAGACGACAATTTTCATTCAGGAAGACAAGTATTTAAGTGTCTCTAAAAATCCTGAGTCTTCGAGCTTAAATAAAGCTGAAGTTTTTGTTTTAAGCCGGCTTCCCGGTGTTTGCTTTTTTGAAAGACGAACTCTAAGCAAGAAAATCGCTCAAAGCTTCTTTTACAGCCAGAATTATAACTAAAAATTCTTTGGAACGTGTTCTTTTTATTTGCGGTGAGAAAATGTCTAAAGGCTTTTTAAAGAACTGTAAGCTTATATAAACCTGATACTCGGTCAGATCATTGTCTCAAATCTTACAAACGTGCGTAAACAAAATAGCCGCATAAACTACGCTCGACTTCATTAAATTAGAAATAAAAAACAAACATCAAATACAATAATTACTCAGGCTTACCACTCGAGATGCAGCTCCTCAAAGGTATCAAGTAAGGCCAGTATCGCTTCAGACTTTGAAACTCTCTTACGCATTAAGCAAGGTGAAAACGAAAACGATGCCATCCGAAATCGGATTTCTAAATTTGACAAGTGACGTATTTTTCAACCAAAAATCCAATAAACAAACTACCCATGAATAACAGAAGACTTCCGATACCAGCTGAATTTCATTTTGCACATCCAGTGGAAAAAGACAGTTAAAAACATCACAAGTTGACACAGAACTCTGTCAGCTTCAGCTGTCAAAGTAAACAAGATTCAAGATGCTGCCTAAATTTTCCGCATGAACTCACTTGTCAAATTTTGACCAATCAGAGCATAAAAATTGGACGTAGAACGTGACCAACGCGTGAACATGGTGAGAAAAGTCAAAAGCAACTGTCTTCCCTGCCTGTAGCAGCTGACTGAATTGTCGCGTCCGAGGTCAGTTTGAAATCAAAATTTTAATTGTGCGGCACATAAACACAACATATTTCACATGAATTTTCTTAAAAAAATTAAACTTGAGCCTGCGATCATTTGAAAACCAGTACCTTGTCAGCGGATAACTTCAAAAAATACTTGACCTCGATGGGCCGACACCTGAACCCGCGATTCGCTCAAGTGATACTGGTCAGCGGATACCTTGTTTTGACAGCTGTCAATTGATCACGACAATGATGTCCAATATGTTTACCAATTTTCCTGTGCTCCGATCCCAAACTAGCTAAAAAGTATGATTGAACATTGTTTGCGATCTAGTAAAACGATTAACTGGTCAGCGGACAGCTTCCAAATAAATCACATCACCTCGATGAGTTGACACATGAGCCCGCGATATGGTCATGGGATACTGGTCAGTGGTTAATCAATTGACCATATTGTGAGTGTCATATATAAAAGATGAGGACTTGCCAAGACACGCCTGAGACACCCCTCCCTTCCTTTTGATAGTCTCCCCCACCCTACCCGTACAATCTGTAGACGCGTACGTACGCTCGGTCAGTCACGTAACAACCAAGCGAAAAGAAGTTGACCATATTCCATGAGTATGGGGCTCTGTCCCACGCGCGCTTCGCGCGCGAGGGAGCCCCGCTATAATATAGTATAACAGAATCTTACAATAGTGAGTATGATAAAATGATAATGATAAAGTCCTAAATAAATAATAACATCCTATAAATATAAAAAAGCTTAAGACTGTTAAAATATATACAACGTCATCGATCTCATTTACAAAACTCACCGAGCGCTAAAATTCGTTATCAATACATGATCTTACTAAAAAACTAATTTTGAAACGCTCGGTCTTACATTTGGGAATCGCAAAACGCCTTTTGCACCGAAGATTATAACACGACGGCCCTGACGATTGAAGAATGTTATGTAAGCGATGGGCCGGGTCATTAGAAATCGAGAGGAAGGTATTTTTACATAAGCTAGCGATGTAGTCATTGATAGGCATAATATTTGAAAGCTCTAAGGCCTTTTTATAGGCCAGTCCCGGGCAAATGATTGATAGTGCCCGTTTCTCTACATTCTCTAGATATTTCTTTAAATACAATGGCAGGGCGTAGAAAAACGCAGGCGATGCGTAGGTCATGACTGACCTTATACAAGATGTATAAAAAAGAATTAATTCATGCCTTGCGATATTGGCCCTTTTCAATTGTATTAGGAAATACATACGTTTAGAAGCTTTCTTTATGATTTGATCAATGTGCATATTCCATGTAAGGTTGTTGGACATCGTAACACCTAGTAATTTGGCGATTTCAACACATTCTAGGTCTTGATTTTTTACTACCATAGGCACGAGTTGTGGTTTGTTCTTTGCAAATGAAATCCTAAGCTCTTTACATTTTTCACTGTTTAGTTTTACTCTATTCTCAAAAGACCACTGCACGACAGTATCTGCAATCAATTGGGAATTGCTACTGGCTCCTTTCACAACGATCTCGGATGTAGTTGTATCATCAACATACTTCCAGATATTGCCTGCATTATTGATTTCTAGATCGTTGATGAGCACCAAAAACAACCACGGACCTAGTTTCGTCCCCTGGGGTACCCCGGGGGGACTGATCCCCACTCGGAGTAACATCCCTCTGAGAGTTTGATTCTCTGGGAACGATCACTTAGGAAATCTATGATCCAATTGATTATTTCAGTCGGCAGATCTAATCTGCATAACTTATTAACAAAAATCCTATGGTCTATGAGATCAAGAACTTTCTTATAATCGTAGAGTGTAACCCTAACGCTAATAACCTACACTCTCCTAAACCCTGGCCATTCCTTGGTCCTGAGGTACCAGGAGAGTTTTTTTTATTTGGAGGACAAAAACCTTCCCAGCATGTGCGCCGTTCCTAGCACGATGATCTTTTGCAGCTCACTGATGTTACTGGCTCCAGGGATATTTCCTGAATTCTGGTCCATTCCCTATTTAATAAGTCCCAGCGAACCAACAATAATCGGCACAGACTCTGTCCTCAATCCCCACATTCTCGTGGTTTCAATCTCAAGATCTTTGTATTTTGAGAGCTTTTCAATGACTTTCGTTGAGGTGTTTCGGTCGGATGGAACCGATACATCGATAAGTTTGCAACACCGGTTGGCTTGGTCCTTGATCACTATATCAGTCAAGTTCGCTGACAGTTCCCTGTTCGTATGTATCTGCATATCCCAGAGAATTGTGACTTCTTCGCTTTCGGTAACCGTCTCGGGCTTGTGTTCATACCACGCACCTCTCTGGGACTTCAATACTGTAATGCTGGCGCGCCTTCCAATGGATATATTCAGCTGCCTTATTGTGCCTCTCTCGATAGTCAGTTTTGCAAGTTCGGAACAGCCAGATATGATATGATCTACTGCTTCTTCGTGCTTGTGGCATATCCTGCACAGTGGACTGGTGCCGTCCTTCACAATCCATGCAAAATAAGACTTGGTAGAGAGGCTATGGTCCTGGGCTGCAATTATCAGTCCCTCTGTCTCAGCTTCCAGTCCCGTGCTTCTGAGCAACTGGTTGGTTTTATAATCGTCAACATCTGCTCCCCTTATTCTTTTGGGTTATCTTCCGTGTAGTTCTTTTTCTTCCCACCGCTTCACTTCTATATCTTGGGCCTGTTGCTTTACCTTCTGTTTTACTCTCCCAGCAAAATTAGTAACCCGTTCATTTGCTGCCCTATCGAGGGTTGGTACCTCAAATTCTCTTCTGAATTTCTCTGCCTCTTTTTGATGGAGTAACGCTTCTTGTTGATCCCATATTGTAGTACTAATTGGAACAGAGCATCATCAATGTTTCTCAGATATGTTTTCATCCCCATCATAGTTGATTCGTACGTTCTAACTTGGTCAGGCCTATTCCTCCAATTCTCCTGGGGAGGTACAGTCTGTCCACGTCTGCCTTCGGGTGTTGCATTATGTGGATGGTAAGTAGCTTCCGTGTTTTTGTGTCCAGCCTCTTAAAATCACTCATTTTCCAGTTCATAATATTGAAACTGTAGGTGACGACGGCCACAACTAGGGTATTAATGGCTTCAAACCTGTTTGCAGCGTTCAGTTCACTTTTCAGTACTAGTATTACTCTGCGGTAGTATCCTTTTCTCACTTTCTCCTTCATAGCGGTATGCTGTTTTCCGTCGCCTTCATTTATTCCCAAGGTACTTGTAGACCCCCTCCTGGTCTAGTTCTCTGATGCATGTGTCAGTGATAAGCCTCCCTCTTTTAAAAGTTGCTTTTGCACACTTTTCTAATCCAAATTCCATTCGGATGTCATTGCCAAATTTCTTAACAACAGTAAGCAAGCCAGTCTGTTGGTTGTCATTTTTGGTGTAGGTTTTCAAATTATCCATGAAGAAAAGGTGGTTGATTTTTTGACCCTGGATTTCATATCCGCAACCACTTTCTTGCAGAAGTGGGCTCAAAAGTGCAAGAGCAATGCAAAATAGGAGTGGTGACAAGGAATCTCCTTGGAATATGCCACTTTTAATATTAATAGGTCTTGATGTCAGCGATCCTCCTGAGTGATTGAGGACCAACGTGGACTTCCAAGTTTTCATGGCTGCGGTGATGAACTGTATGACTACAAGGCATATCTTATAAATTCTCATGCACTCCGTGATCCAGGAATGTGGTACACTGTCAAAAGCCTTCTTGTAGTCAGTCCAGTCTGTAGACAGATTCTTTTTTCTGGTCCTGCAGTCTTCAAGTATCATTTTGTTAACCAGGAGTTGGTCTTTGCAGCCATAGCTTTCTCTCTTACATCCCTTCTGTTCAGATGGAAGGAGCTGATGCGCGCTTAAAAATGTGTATGTTCTGTCTGCTAGGATAGATGTGAGTACCTTGTACATGGTTGAGAGGCATGCATGTGATAGGTCTGTAGTTTTTTTTTTTTTTGGCTTTTTGTTTCTACTGTTTTTAGTAGAAGGATCGTGAGACAATCGGTTAGCCATTCCGGCATTTCTGCTGGGTTCTCAATGATGTTCGTATATGCTTTTGCCATATCCTCATGGAGGCTTTTGAGGTATTTTAGCCAGAAGTTGGGGACTTTGTCTTTACCCGGCGATTTCCAGTTTTTTGTTTTGTTTATGGCACTTGTGACCTCTTGGGCATCTATTGAAACCCAGGGCTACCTCTCTAAATTCTATAAATTTCCATATCCTCCAGCCTTTTCATCCATTCTGCATTTTCATTATGAATATTGTCGTTTTCCCATGATGTTAGCCCAGAACTCTTCAACCTCGTCGAGAGTAGGTGGTTCGGTCACATCGATCCTTTTCACGGTAAAATTTTTTGGCATGCTTAAAGGTTTTGTTCTGCCGAAAGAATTTAGCTCTTTTCTCAAATCTTCTGATTCTTTGCCCCTTTGCTTGGATTTGCTGTTTAAATACTTCCTTTGCGGTTGCCAAGTCTGCCGGGTTCTTTATGTTATAACGTTTCAGCATTTGCTTTTGTTTTCTTTCCTTGATCCTGCTGCCCTTTTTCATCTCCACCAGGATAGATAAATCACTCGTATTTTTTCTGATGTTGTTCTCCATTCATGCTTTCCATAAGGGCGCTTTCTTTTATCGGGTTGTTCCCCTCACTGGTCTCAGGCCAATTTGCCGCTCTGTGATGATCTAAGCAGTCACAAAGGTAATCTGGTTGATTTCAGTTAGTGTAAGTGGCTTGTTATCTTTTTCTTTGATTTCCTTAATTTTAAGCCTCGTTTGCAGTGTTGATTGCTTCACGTACATGGAGATCTGTTCTTACCTGTGGGAGGCCAAGCCATTAGACAATAGGTTGGTTTTTCACAGTTTCCCAATTTGTCAGTTTTTTTCTCGTCTACGCTTATGCTGTTTGTATTTTGCTGGCTAGCTGTAGGTTCACCTTCTTCCGTGATGGTAGTGACGTTTTGGGCATGTTCTTTATGTGCCTCTGGTAGTTCTTCACTAGAGACCATTGCGTCAGTCTGCGTGACCCTTGCCTTTATCTCATCCAGCTCGACGTCAGTAAGCCTTGTTCTTGATAATTTGATTATGTCTCTTCTTACATTAGCAAGCTTGTTTGCATCAAGGTATGTCCGTTTAGTGGGGTTTTGTCTTCTTCAGAAGTTATAGGTCTCAACGGTTGTGTTTGTTTCTGATGGACTGATAATGGAGGTATAGTATGCCTCCATAATTTCTTTACACTCATCCCGGGTCCACTTTTTTCGCGTTGGCTTAGGGGGTTTTCCGCGGTGTTGGGAGTTATTATTATTATTACTATTATTATTATTATTATTACTATTATTATTATTATTATTATCTCTTTTATAACTGTCTCTGCTGGTGTTCTTTTTGTGCATCAGCCGGGCGCAAACCATGCACCTAGAGCGTCAGTCACTCAAGTCAATCATTCTGTTCGTACACTGATCACCTTTCTGTGGATTCGGGCAGATCCCAGCATGCATATCGTTTGAATCTCTGTCATAGTAGCTCTCTCTGATACTTTCTTGATGTTTTCTACCGCACCCTTTTTCACTGTACCAAGCGCACCAAAAACCACAGGGATGACTACGGTTTTCATATGCCACATTCTCTGTATTATTATTATTATTATTACTATTATTATCATTATTATTATTATTATTATTATTATCATTATTATTATTATTGTTAATATTATTCGGACTCGGATTTAGATATTGAAAAACAGTCTGGGCCACAACCAGAACTGGATATATGATTTCCTGTCATCAGATTGGCTTACGCAAAACCAAAACATTGCTTAAACCGCAAAAGGACTAGGCATGGGCCGCACTTAGGAAAAGTTTTCATCTTTGCCGGCTAAAAAACCACAAAAATTCGAAACCGCAACCGGAAAAGAAAACTTTTAGTCCAACCGAGGAGGGTCGCATTAGTGGGAGTTAATATTTTTTGCTTTGACACATCGAGAACTTAAGAACGCCAGATACCAGAAAACATTTTTCTCTTCTTCGTCCGAATCTTTGTCGAAGGATCTTTTTCCTCCATTCCCAGTTTCAGGAGGAGGGGACAGATAAAGAAGACCAGAAAGTGCTTGGATGCGAATAGTGCATTTGGCTTGGAGAATAACAAACCTGTGAAGTGTTTGCTTGTGTAGACGGGAACTCAACTGGTTCACCTTCAATAGAGCTAGTTCCCGTAAAAACCTTAAAATAGCGAAGGTTTATAAGCGAGTGAAGTCCTTGCCTGTAGAGAGTTTTCGAAAAAAACTTGAAATGGCGAAGGATAGCCGAGTAGAAGCCTCTTCGCGAAGGTCTGAAAATTCGACCACGTTTATTTTAAATTGATCGTGTTTCAAATGGATCACGTTCATGACAAGGCGCTGACAGTTACCGCTGTGATTCCAATTGTTTAGCTCGAGTTTTCCAAAATCTGCCTCCCCCACCCAAGCACTACGGCGTCTTTGATGTTTTTGCCGATTTTCAAAGTTTTTTCTGACTTGAAAACTCGGGGTCGCACTTAGCAATGTCCACCGATGACAGATTTCTACCGCAAGGTAAACAAATTCTCAGAAGAATTTGCCAAGTGCGACCCATGCCTAAGGCCGAGAGAAATGGCGGCGATGTCGCGTCGAAGGCCGCTCCAAAGATACTCATGATACGATGGAATCCTTCCGAATTATCGATCTCTCGACTTTAAGAACTTGCGGAAAACTCCATGGAGAAGTCGTTTTCTTTTCTTTTCTTTTCTTTACTGGAATTACGTGACACGATACGAACTATAAGCTTTAATCAGCAACTTTGTTTACGGCTTCTTCTCACGATGTAGGCCGCCTGATCTTCTCAATTCGGGAGAGCCGAGAAAAGTGAACGCTACCTTAGATCGTGCATATATACCCTAGACAAAGCGTAATTTTGGCCTTGATTTGCCTGATTTCACAAGGGCTGTTGCGGAAATGTAAATTTTTCCGACATTTTATTTCAATCGTGCACGGGGATAGTGAATATTATATCGTCAAACAGGCTTGCACCGTTTTAATAAGGGCAGTTTATTTCTTTTTGTGTGAAGTGCTTCAGTTTTTATCAGAAGATGATGTTTCAGGTACCTTAAGCAAGTTCTTATAACGTATTCAGGGTGATCCAGATTGTAAGAAAATCAAATCTCACACGTGATTTCTACGAACGACACAAACCGAGGAGGATATAACGTCTTGTTCCAGAGCTTTTCGGAAGCTTAAAAATGCCGAGGAGGAGAGGAAGTTAATTGAAAATGGTACCCCAAAGTCAACTATTTCACTGAAAAAGTATTCTTTGAAAATTTTTTCGAATGGCCAAATGGTAATCAAAAAAAATTCCAGTACTCGAGCTTTGGGTGTTCACAACTGGCAAGTCTTGAGTGCAACGCTTGGATATGCTATAGCCGATATTACCGCTGTGTCACGCTTAACTTTTGGCTGATTAAAGTGGTGAAAGAACAAAGTTTATTTCTTTGCAATAGTAAATTTACTGCGTGTGTTAATTTGATAGAAAATTAAATATTCTGATAAACCATATTCATAGGTCACGTGCAATGATATAAAATGTCATCCATATTAGTATGTTTTATATAAAGAATACTAATCAGGAGGACATTTTTGAAGTTTTACAGTGTTTTACCAGGGTTTAAAACACAAGCACGTGACGGATTTTAGCGGACGTTATAGGTTATTGAGCTCATGAATTATTAATGAGTTTTTGAAGTTTTCTTGGATCTGCGCCTTCTTATAATTTTAAATATTAAAGAGCTGCATAGTCACAGCTGCAAGCATATAGGAGGGTTAGATCGATGGCCTCAAATAAATTAGCCTAAATAAAAGACCTTTAACTTTCTTTTTGGACAAGAGGCTGCTGGAAGTGCGGTAGATGCTCGAGGATTCCAAGACCACGCTTTCTCCTTTCACTTTCGCTCTTGACTGATAATCGAAGCCCATATTTCAAAATTAATCAAGTAAAATACAAGTTTTTTAAAGATAGGGTTGTTTTTTTGTTTTTTTTTTAATGTATTTTCTTTTTACTTTTCCAGTTGTCATTTCATCTAGGCCAACGCCATC